CTCATGAGGTGGGAGATGAAGGAGAGGACTCCACCTCAGAACAGACAGCTCTCCACAGCCAGGCTTCTGATCAGAGGTACCAGCTATGTCTGAAAAGCAGCCCAGACTTTTTTTATACCCGCGTATCTATGCCAACTGCTGCTGGCAAGCCAGATCAAGCGCACTGATCCAAAAGAGAATAAACCCTCCAAACCCCCTGAAGGCCTGTCTTACTCGAACAGTTCCCACATTGCTGTGTGATCGTTAGATAATGCAAGAGAGGGAGTAAGAGCCTGTGGAGGAGGTAAAACCAAGGAGTGAAGAGAACGACTGCCTGTTTCTGCAGCAGTCTCAAGTTAGATGCCATTAAGCATATTGTGAAACTGCACTGAATTCCCTTTCCTAGCTGTTGCCAGGTGAGAGCTGGTCCCGTCCTTGTACCACGGGCAGGAATCACTACCACCCAGCACCCGTAGCTGTCCCTGCAAGGCAATTAGAGCTGTAAGTAAACCACCTATCGCTGAACATCTATGTATTCAAGTACAGGTTTGCAGGACTGTCTCTCCCTCCTCTGTACACCAGACAAGGATCGCTCCTTTAGTCTTAATGGACTGTTACTAAAACAGAGAGATCCTGGGACAATGGCTTGCTGAGGCTTCAGCAAACTAGTTTGGCTGGGTTCACTTTCAGGTGTCTGAAGTCTGGAAAAACAGATGGGCGTCAGCAGCCAGGCAGTGGTTACACACAAGCCTTTTAAAGTCTGCTTTAAATATTAAGGGAAGGAGGCAATACAACATAGGAAACTTTGGGCAGGAAGGAAAGCGGGTGAGCTGGGTTTTACAGCAGCAGAATTGGTCAAGCTGCTGTTCTCTTCCTAAATGAACTGAGTGAGGAAGCTCTGAACTTAAGAAGTTACTCTCTTTCTAACTGTTATCATACGCTTCAGCCCTTAAAACCTGTCAAATAAAGAAGCACAGTTTCAAAATACACCTAAGCCCTACGGCCTGTATGTGTAACTGCATGTATCAAACATACCTCCCAAATATAAAAGCACCCATACTGAGTTAGACCAAACATCCATTTTGACATCTAGCCTGTCTCCAAAAGTAAGCATACCTTCAAAGAGAACAAAAATGGGGAAATACATGCTACTTTTCCTGGAGTACCATCCCAGTCTCTGAGTACTTTCATGGATTTTCTGAACCAGATCCCATTTGTATATATGTATTCTGCACTTGTATTTTTTTATGTATCCACCCTCAGTGGATTTTTCATCCCTTGAACTCATGAGAAATTTTAGTAGCTACAGCAACATTTGGTGAACTGTTACTCAGATGTAGTACCCACTGCATGAAGGTATAAAAACCCTATTCTTCCCTCAGGAGACACCTCCCTCCCCCTCATTTTTTTTTTTTTTTGCACAAAGGCATAACTGTCACTGACTTCTAAGTTATTTTGGAAAAATGCTTTTCTTATACTTGCTGAAAGATGCACCTTCTTTCATTCTGGGGAAAATGAAAAAGAATTCATATTTAAGTAGTAAACCTGTATTGTAGCCTCTAAATATGTGCAAACAAGCTTAAAAATACATCAACTATGCACTCACAACTAAGCATGGTACAAAGCCCAGAAGAAAATACATTTCTTAAACTGGAAGATGCATTTTTTAGAGGAGATGGGAAGCATATTCAAGAGAAGGTGGCTGTTCCAAAAGAGCAGAAAACTGAAATGGGACAGGAGATACTGCTGAGAGAAGATGCCATAGGACTGGTGAACACAGTGGAAGATGACAGGAACAGGGAATACACCTGCAGTGAGAAGCCCATCGGTCAGACAGCACAGTTAGAGCAAAATAAAAACCCCAACGGGTGGGGGCCATGCCACAAATTCACTCAGCCCACTAGCAATTAGCATGGGCCCAGTGCCAAAACATGCCTGAAGAGGTGGCTCCCTGCAACACCCAAAGTTTTTTAGGAGAAGCTCCCTACCACCTACACATCCTGGACTTCTCCCAGATCTCCAGGGACACAGAAAGGAATGGATGAAACAGATAGAAAGAACAGCTGAACTGTGTAGTGTTACTGATTCAATTACAAAAGCAGTCTGAACAGAAACCTTTCTTACTCTATAAGAAAGTACATTAACCACCCCAAATATAATCCTACGGAAGTCAAATGAGCATCAGGAGATGAAAAATAATAATAAAGATTATACTATAAAGGTTTGTAATGACTAAACTTTTTTTCCATTTTGAAAGCAGAACCAAGGTTTCACATCCTATTGACAGATCTGCAAACTCCAACACAGCCTATCTCAGTTATATTTCATAGACTCTAACCTTAGTGATGAATCATGCAAGAGGTATCATGCAACATAAACAGAACTTCTGCTTTCTTCCCCCCTTTTCGAAGCCTAGAAAGTGATGTACACACACACATGAAGAATGTTAAGGTTGAAAGGTGAACACAGTCAACATACAGAGGACGTACTTAGTGCTAGAAAGTCCCTGAATTGCATTGTAAACATAGAAATGCATTTCAAAACAGAAAATATCTCCAACTCCTAGCTCTGTTGCTTTCTTAGACATAATTTTAGATTTTGAGATATGAAAACCTGAAATAATGAAAGCATGCTATCATGCCACATTTTTCTTATGAATTGTAAAAATACATATTGTAAACAAAATCAATATATTAACCAAATTTGCATATTTAGAGGATCGTACAGATTGTGCTATTTAAAGAGAAATAAATTCCAGCTATTTACGTCTGAAGGAAGCCCTAAGAAGACTTAAGATGGCAGCAGAGGAAGCAGAAATAGATTGCTGAGTCTCCAATTTGAGCAGCTCTACAAAGCTGTGCAACAGGCAGTTCCATGGGAGGAGCAGAAGGGCAAGCACAGGTCAGACTCTCCTCGGCTCTTCATTAACAAAGTTAGAAAACACCAGAACCCATCCCCTAATTCTCTTCTCTCTCGCACCTTGCAAGAAAACAGCAAATGAACAGAAGATATTCTGTACAAAAATGCTAGTCCATACCATATAGGACAGAAAAACCAACAAACTATTAGCTGTTATTGTTTCAGAACTATATATGTAAGCTACATAATTTATCCAACTTAAAAGCTCTCTTTCATGAACCAGAAAATTTAGTGAGAAAAATGAAACATAACCGATTCAGCCACAGACACACACAACACACGTTCTCATGCTTCTCAAGAAAGAAGCAGCCTCACTAAAGCAGATGCTGGACCCAGCATGTAACATGAGCCAAATAAAAACTAGATTTCTAACCTCTGGCAATTTATCGTTTCGTCTTACCCCAGTTTTGTCTCAGCTGCAAATTCTGCTGTCAGTTTTGTAAGTTATTTGAAGCTGAGCTCCTGGAGAAGCAGTTTGAAGAAAATCTAAACTCTGTGGGCCTCATCAGATATAAATATTGCTCCATTCAGGTCAGGTTACCCTTCTCAGCTGTATGTGGAAATTTGTTGCAACAGCTTATCTTCAAAACTCCTTGCACCTTAAAAACACTGTTCTTCCAACATCTTAGATGTCCCACACCCCACAGGATTAAACTCCAATTACCTCATTTCTTTAAAGGATATCTATAGAAAATATGCAGACAGGTCCTGTCCCAGTCTGAGAGAATAAAAAACCAGATTACAGTCTTCAGCAATATTACAGATTTCAGATACTGAAGTCAACAGTGAAAAACTGTCTTGTGGACAAGGGACATTGCCCTTTCTTCCCTGAACATCTGCCTACATTAGGCTGCAATGCCAAACCAAGAACATTTATTCAACTTTTTCCTACTGTGGAAAAAAGGCCGGTGTTTTACCTCCACTACACTGAAGACAGGCTTATATTGTCT